CAATTTTTGGATTTTATTCAAACTTGAATTGATATTATTTACGAATTAAAGACAATACGAAAGATAGAACTTTTTGTGCTATAATTTGAGTAGATAATTTAGTGGCGAATCATCACACAGGCGTAAGAAGCGAGAGTTTGGATCCACAAATTGTCAGTTGCTTTCAAAAGTTAGCATCTTGAAAAATATATATATTCTACAAATTTCAGGCACAGATACTAACTTCATCGAGATAATTTTCGGTAAAAATTTTAGTATTTAATATCTGATTAATTAACAAAATTTCCTCTTCGATCGCGAAAAATATCTTAAGTAAGTCAGCATTTCTCAACTGTGATCAGCAGGCAGACTTAAAGATTAAAACTTTGTCCAATGACGATTCACTATTAATCACTATTAATAGTTTACTACCAATTTAATTATGTTTCCACATGCATTCATGACATGCATTTAGATTTACTATGTTATAAATAGCACAGAATTTCCCGGATGGTGGTAATACCCATATAAGTTTTAAGAAATTTAGGCGTATATAACTTAGAGGTTCGAAAAATTTTTTTCAGACATTTTATTGGTCCTTGGCTTTAAAAAGTTGAGAAACTCTGCCTGAAGTAATAAATATTGATGTTTTTAGTGTCTGTTTTTATAAAGGAAACGTTATAAAATAAGTTTAAAGTAAGTATTAAATTATTATTTATGTTATATACAGCATACACAGGAAATGTGATCACCGGTTATTAGAATCAACAGCAAGCACTCATTCTACACGATAAAATCCATTGCATTTTATTCGATTATTCGAATCGTACCTTCGAATATTAAAATTGACTGATTAGTATTTTACCTTTCTCGCTATGATGTAGAACAGAGGTTAAGTATGGCGATTGGTCAAAAACTGACCCCACTTCTAAGAATTTTACATTGTTAGATTCAGAGGACCCTGAAACGTCAAGAAATACGAACAATTTTTTTTTCTGTATGCATGGATGTGTCTTTTGTAATTCTTTTAAATTTGGTGGTTAAAGGTCGAGGGGTGGGAAGATAGAGTGAGTAGTGTTATACATAGAGTAAATTAAGATTTTACTTGATATTAACATTCACATATTTTGTTTTTATAAAGCACATCTATACTTTGAAAATGAAGCTTTTTGTCAATTTATAATAGTGAATAATATAAAAACTTTTATTAAAATAAAATATCATAACAGATGGCGCCACACACAATTTTAACTTTTTTGCCGAGAAAGTTATGCCACTGGTTGATGAAGTTTTTTATTAAGATATAAATCGATTTTATAGCATTGCTAGTATTTAGAACAAGGGACTTCAAAAGTAGGTTGCTCTTGAGGCCCACAAAGTGCCTGGTCTGCCACAGGTAATTCTTAAACTCTTGACAGCATCAAAATAAAATTAAAGATTTACAATACCAGAAAAAGTAACACTTAGAATTTGCAGACATCTGAAAGAAGCAAACAATAGGCCATATAAAACTGACTGAAGAAAGTTAATAAGTAAACTGTCGATTCAAGAATATATGAAGAAATGTTATAAAAACGCGTTATCCACTATCTTAAGTTCATTGTTACTCTTTTGAACGATAGTGGAATAAATTTTCAAATTATAAACATAATAAGATCTGTTGGATATAAACCAGAGTTGTAACAGATATATCGGTATTAGTTCATTATACAGACCGATTCTCTGATTGTTTACCGATGCATATCCTCCACATAGTTAGGCAATGTGTGGCATTCAAATACGGTGATGGACATATCGTGTGGTAGAACTAATCTATGGTAAAAAGAGCATTCTCTCTGCGCGTGATTTGCCATTAATGGTAACACAAATGTGCAGGTAATTAATGAAAAAACAAGTCATCAAGGCTAACATAGTATTTATGCGTACAAAAAGAGTATTGTTTATATAGAGGTACTATTATAGAACTACAGTCAGGATCATTTCAAAGTTGACAATTGAAAAAATTGGTTTTTAACATTTTAAGGAAAAAAACTGCATTTTTAGTCTGTTTTCTAAATTTCATAAAACAATAGAGAGGTTGAGGCGCACGTATTTAGCCCAAAACGTGTACGGGTAACGGGTGAGCGCCGCCATCTGGCAGTTCTGGACCGTCGATAATGGCGTTTTCTACGTGTAGCTTGGTGAGTACACGATCGGCTTAAACGTCTTCATTTTTTTTCGTGTTTGGAGTTAAAATTATGATTTATTTAATTAAAATAACGATTATTTAAGCGTTTATAAATAACATTGTAAAGAAACAGACGATTTTAATCCAAAAATTATTTAATTATTTAACCCTTTATTGCCTGAATTTTCATTTTTTGATAAAAAATTTTTTATATTTCTCATTTTATCATCAGAAGAGGTGTTTTTTCCCGATAAATTTTCCGTAAATTTTCCGATATACTTTTCCAAGCATCTTTCGGATTTTCATATGCATAGGGATTTATAGCCACTACTCTTAACAGAAGTATGTCGTGAAAGCAAGAAAACCGCATTTGAACTTTCCTACTGTTTCTCGGAGTTAACACGACGCTAATTATAGTAAAAAAATAATTATTTAGTGTTATTAAACATCATATAAATACTTTTAAACAGTTTAATTTGTTTATTTACCTTTCCTGGTAATCCTCCGTGCAAAATGCTTCTGCCATTTTTTTCAACTTATTTCCCGTGAGTCAATGCGCGATGTTTATTGAGTCACGTGATGTTATGAACGGGTGCCTCAACGATTTTTACTTGGATTTGAAACGTGTAACGTGTACTTCTGCTACCCGTACACGTTTATTGTTTGAACTTGTGCCTCAACCTCTCTAATAGTTAACTGATTAGTTTGTTTCATCAATAACTAATTCAAGAGCGACAAGTTATGTTATATCAATTAATAACAAAGAAAATATTGTAAGTACAGTAATAAATTAATTTCAAATTGGGTATAACACAAAATTTAATTCCAGAATTGTCAATTAAATTGTTTTTTAGTATCAATAAAAAAGTATGTCAAAGAAGAGAGAATAGAATCTCGAAGAAAGAGTGCAGATTGTATGTAAGTGTGGAAATGGCGATTCTCTTGTTATTATTGCAAAAAAATCAAATATCACGAGAAGGTGTCAGAAAAATAGTGGTCAAGTAATTAAATAACAATACAGTGAGAAATTTACCATGAGGACACCGCCCTAAGGCCATAACATCAGGAGAAGAGGCAATGATTTACCGTGAGGCCACCAAAAACACTTTTATAACAGATAAAGAAATAAAAGAACAGCTTACTCTTGAAACCAGTGTTTCAACTATTAAGAGAAGATTAAATAAAAAGGGTCTCCACGGAAGAGTGGCTCGTAGAAAAGCAATCACTTCAGCAGTGAATCAGAAGAAAAGTCTAGCTTTTGCCAAAAAATTTGTGGACAAGCCGCTAGAATTTTGGAAGCGTATTATTTGGAGTGATGAGTCAAAACGAGAATTACAGGATGCTAAACGACGAAAATTTGTTTGGAGAAATAAGAGAAAGCATTCGAGAATAATAAAACTGTGGGAACGACAAAATACTCACCTTACATAATGGTTTTGGGGTGTTTTTCAAGATTCAGAATGAGCAATATTGTTCAAATTCACGATCACACGAAAGCAGTAGATTACAAACAGATACTTGAATACAATTTAGTGGCACCAGCAATAAAAACGGGAATTAAAAATGAATTTGTCTTTCAACAAGACAATGATCCCAAACATACAGAATTATTTCTCAGAAAACATTTGAATGAAAACGATATCAAAATTTTTGATTGGCACCGTAGTCACCAGATTTAAATTTAATAGAACATCTGTGGGACAAATTAAACCGCTGTATTCCTCTTAGCCATAGAAAATCTTTATCATTGTACAAAAAAATTATTTAAGGTTTGTTCAAAAATTGGGCAAGATGTCATTGACAAATTAATTAACAATATGCAAAGTCTATTTCTTCATATAATTCAGTCCAACAAAGTTTTGATTCGACTCTTTTTCAATGTTTTATTTCGTGTCAAATTTGAAATGGTTTTACCATACAACACAATTTTACAATTTGTAAAACATACATAATATTTTCTTCAAAAGTTTTTGTTGGATTCAATAATAAATTAAGTCTGAAAAGTAAAATTAAGGTTAATTCAATTTTTACATATTGATAAGATGATGATAAACTCAAAAGTTCAAAAAACATTCTATGTCAACTATGGGATGATCTTGACTGTAACTTTTATCAATATTATTTATTGTGACATCATCACAATGCCGGGATGCAATTTTTTATTATCATATTTTTAATTTATATAACTTAAAATATACGCTATTCACCTGAAATTACTAGTGGTTTTCTCCAACAATAGAGTCTTACCGGTCATTCGTCTAACACGTTTCAAAAAAAATTTTTGAAATGAAATAACGTGCCTTCCAGTCTAGATCAATTATTCCTATATAGTAATCGATGCCTCCTGCTACTAAGGTTTCCAAATCTGGTCTCTACTTTCATCTAGCTAACTCTTATCTCGAGATTAAGAAAAGACAGACAGACAGACAGACGACGGTGGGAATTTATAGATCTACAACTTCTTCAAACTGTAGCCCAATGAGAATATTTACTATATTAGAGATATTTCCCCAAAAAGCCAGTATATTCTCAATAATCACGAATTAATTATTCAATTTACCAATATAAAATGTATTTTATTCTCATTTTTTTCTACTCTATAGGCACTAACAACTTCCGCATCCATCGTGGTTTAACACAGGCCCACAACGGGAGCGACCGATCATAGTATTCTTGTGATCGAATAGATCGATAGCTCTAATAGGGATAGCTCCCCAGAGCAATCTCTAATAATTTTAGTTTAATTTTATTAAATAAATTTAAATAATTTAATTTAAGAACTAATGTATACATACTTTTACTTATAATTTAATACTTCAAAAAAAATCAAAGTTAAATTAATAAATTTTTCCAATTAACTTTATTTCGATTATGAACTTTATTCTTATTTGTATATTACACATCTACATTTAAATGCAGAACGAATTTTAAAAATAGTCTTGAAAATCTTTTATCATGATCTCTATTTCGTCTAACATGCAGGGATCAAATGGATATAATTTAAAATGAAACATTCTTGCAAATCTCGGTTTAACAAAATCGATCCCTTCCACACCGCTAAATAATGACATTCTATTAATCACGTTATTAATGTCAGCAAGCCTTCTCGCTTTGTCTTCGACTCCACTTATCAAATCCCTCTCTAGCATTTGCAATGATTTGATAATTTGACGGCTCGCCCAGTTTTTAAATTTACAATCGTCTTCTCTTTTAATTTTCTCAGCAAGACTCTCCTGTATTCAAAAAATGAAAAAGGAACGAATTAATTTTAAAATTGTTTGTTACTAAAAGAGGGAAGAAAGAGAATGTTATATGCAAGTTATAATATTCTTAAATATTCAACTTAGAAAAACACAGACATTAACTTATTTCTATAAGATGTTTACCCTTTTTTACATCTTTTCTGCTCTATGGGAACAAAGAAAGCCCTGAGTTCAGAGCTGGAACTCAGCTCTGAACTCACGGCTTATGGGAAAGAATTCTGAGTTCAGCCAGGTCCACAATTGGGAACAATCAGATAAAAAATGGGACTCGATAAATCCGGAATAGTCCACTCACGAAAAATTACCGGAAATTTTTGACTGGCCCAAATCGATCACCGGCCTTCAGAGCAGGAAGCTGATACTGCTTTGGCATTCGGTTTAGCATATATAAATTTATTAACCAAAGCAGATTATTGACTGAATAGATAGTTTTCGTACACAATTTTTATTAAATTACTTAATTAATTAAATTCAACGAAAATTTCTAATTATTCATTCAACAACGAGTTGCTTAACTTTTCCGGCAACACACTGCGTGTATGGCGCCATCTGTTATGATATTTTATTATTAAAAGTTTTTCTTATATTTTTAATTATTATAAAATGGCAAATTTTTAGAGTAGGGATGGATTTTATAAAAAATTTTCAATGCAAATAACGAGTAACATCCTGGCCCAATCCGATCCTACTAGAGATACGACAAACGAACCGCCTTTATCTCCCTACCCTGTCGACATTTAATCACGAAAATTTAACAGTATCAATCCCCCTAATACACAAACCTCCCTGCAAAATTCCAGAAACTTTTGACACAACTCACGGAAGTTATTAAGCTTCAAACATGGTAAAAAGTTTTTTTTTATCAGATTGTGAGTGAGTAGGAGGCCACTGGGTTGATCCCTAATGACTACTTAATCTGCACGGGCTGATAAAACTCGCTCTCCGTTGGTCGGATGGCTTAGGAGGGCAAATCGAGTGGGGAGAGGTCGTGAGGTCGTGACGAGGTGTCCAAATAACTACACGGGTTGAACAATACTAACACATTTAATAAACAATCAAGAGATAATACATATCAAAGGAAAAAGCATAAACAACGCACGCGTAAATAATAAAAGGAATCTATTCTATATCTATGTTCTAACCTAAACTAAAGATCGAGAGAGACCTCTCTAAGAGGGACGGGTTGGAGAGAGAGAGAGACAACATTCCGGCAAGGGTTTACCTCGTAGGATTCGATCTCTTCGTATAATTCGTTGGTACGACGCACTGGGATCGTCGGTTTCTAATTGAAGTCTCCTTTGTTGGCGGTATGCAGCGATGGACGGTATGGCGGTATGGAACTGATGTCCCTGGATGTCCGCTCGGCTATGTCCGATAAGGGTGTACGCTCCGTTGTTCTCCGACTGTAGAGGTCTTCGTCGGCTGTCTGCTCGGAGGGGTTACTTCGGCGGTGTCTTCCTCGGCTGTTCGCCCGGTGGTGCAAATTCGACCCCTTTTTATACAGGGTTAGCGTGGGAAATATCTGGGACTTTTCTGACATAATTGTCTTGGCTGGGTATGCTGTTTACTTGAATTTGACAGTTCTTCAGATTTATTACCGTCTCTCCCGTCACGGTGACGCAGTTACGATCATTGACGTCACCTCGACCTACCAGTCAGTATTAAAGTTGTCATCACTTGAGGTGACGACTGGCCATCCCCGGTAACGTGATATATTTTCTCACCGGACGGTCTACCCTTGCAGGTAACCTATTTGTTTACCCTCCACACAGTAACAGTGGGCCGTCACCGTTAATTAGTTACTTGTCTGCACATTGTATTTACGTGAACGATCCCCTGGTGTGAGGGGAGTCCTTCTTCGGACTTTGAAAGTCACCTTCGATGTGACGCAGTACATAAAGTGTGAAAATTTTCACTTGCTTCCGATTTCTCACAAGATAATAATTCTCTACTATTATAATTATTCTAATTCTTAATTCTAGTATAATCTAATTTTTCTGTACTGTACGTGTACGTACTTAAAATTATACGAGTTTATATATATATATATATAAATACTTTAATAAATACATTATATGTAACTTCCTATTCTTTTACCTACATTTTCCTTTATTAATGATGATCCTTGTACCTTCAATATCAGGATCGTTCCTGTAAGAAATATGTCTATAATTATTTTTAAAATATTCGCAAAATTGAAATTTTTAAAAGTTTAGAAAAAAAAAAAAAAAAAACATTTTAGATAAATTCAAGTCTGACAACCTACCAAAAATAAAAATAGAAGTTCTACTAAAGGTAGAGTATTTAATCATGTTTAGAAATACTTATTTTTTCACTATTTGAATAATATTTTCGTTCGTTTTATAGATATAATGAATTGTAAAAATTATAGCTGAGTTTACATGACTTTTGTAATTTGTATGTCATAATATAAATAATTGTTACTTCTCAACTTTCGTCATTTCTCATACTCTATTAAATTGGGCTCTTAATAACGAGACAGATATTTAAGTTTAAAAAATAATGGAATATAAACAGCTTTAAAAAATAAAAAAAAAGTACATTTTAGAAGGCAAAATAGAACCACGCTACAACGAAACCGAATATACTCGATTGCTTACTGTTCACTCAATTATCAACTTTGTCCTTCTGAATTAGCACAAAGTTGTTGTTGAGAACAAATCACACAGGAACACACACTCCTTTTTGATAGAAAAATAGGTTTATTTTCTATAATTTAGAAAGGATATGTATTTCGAACTTTTATGCCTCTCTTCAGTCCGTATTTTATTAAATATAACGGCAAAAAACTACAAATTATTATAGTGACAGCTAGAATAACTAATTATTAATTAATACCTTAGGATAAAATAAATAAAACTGTAAAAATAAAATTATTTTTGTTAAAACGTATAAAATCATGATCTAGTACAAGTAAAACTGTAAAAATAAATAAGAAATTTGACTGAAAAAGGTAGTAAAACATATAAACCTTAAAACTAATTCAAATTTAAAAAATAGGAGTAAAAGCATTCACTATGTTTATCAGTAAGTCTAATATTTAATACGATACAGTTAATTAAAATGGAGTGATTTATAACATAATGTAAGAACTCGGAATAAATAGAGAATATTAACTTAATTTATTTAAATAATTTTGTTGAAATTCTAATTCTCAACCACCATATCAGGAAGTGATTCCATTTTCCCACAGACTTGCTTACTTGCTCAGAGATGACACATCGTCTGACTGCATCACTTTTGACTGTATCGGGAACAAACTCATATCAATCAAAAAATCGCTATTGGTTTAACTAACCTACATTACCAAAAATAGACATAGAATCTCACAGGGGAGGACCATAAATAAAAGGAAAGAAGCCAGTCGTCATAGAGACTGTTGTTATCAAGTATTCGCTCCCATCTTCGATATACACCGTCCATAAAAATCATCTCCGCCGATTATCTCTAGAGACGAACATCCTAGTGAAATCCTAATTGCTAAGAGGCAACACCTTACTCCTAAGATCGCAACAAAGGGCCTACAACTTCACGTAAAAATACCAATTCGCGATTGCTTGTAAATGCTCTTTCTCGCAGTTGGACCCACTAAGATCGGTCAAACGACTTATCTACAATACTTACCCTATGTATATATAGCCTATATATATGTGAATTAATAAACGGGTATAAATTTTGCTAAATGAGTTATAAAGAGCATTTTTTCGAGTACACGATCTCCATCCAGAATCCGACCGCCTACACATGTGACCGCTCGCGTAAAAACGAACTTAGCGGCCATCGAGGTTTCTGTCTGTCCATAAGACACTGTGGTGTCAGTCCTGACGACGCAGTCATCGCAGACGTAGTGTCGACCCTTCGCTCAAGTGGTGCGAAAGCGTACTTGAGCGAAGGCGCTTTCCGTATTGCCACAATCATGATCTATAAGACCTTGTCAAAATGATTTAAAATGATAGTTTAAAACATAAAAACATTAAAACCAGTTTTAATTGGTTTCAAGGTTTTTATGTTTTACTTCTTATTTTTAGTCAAATTTTTAATGCATTGTTTAAAATATATTTATTTTTAAAGTTTTACTTTTACTAGCCCACGTTTTTATACGTTTTAACAAAAATAATTCTATTTTTCCACTTTTATTGATTTTATTTACACCAAGGTATTAATAATTAGTAATTCTAGCTGTCACTGTAATAATATTTAGTTTTTTGCCGCTATATTTAATAAAATACTTACTGAAAAAGCCCGAAATGCATATTTTTTCTAATTTATAAAGATTAACCCTACTTTTCCATCAAAAAGAATTGTTCTTGTGCGAAACCGGATATGTCTGCAACCACTCCTCATTATACAAGATATATTTATCGCTTTAATAACTGTTGTAATGTTATGCTGCCAACCAATGGCCGTGCGGATAAAACTATTAAACACTAGTAGGTCATGGGTTCGCACTTGGGCAAAGAACTGGCGACGTTAAATTTTCCGAGTTTTCTTTACGTTAGTTACACCTAAATAGAGAACACCCTGTTTTGGTGTTAGTGGGGGCGATCTGCAGAGGGGGAATTCCTCACGTGAGGCATTCTCCTTCTACAGGTTGCCCACATGTCACGTTGTCCTAACTATATAAAAGAAAACTAATTTAATGGTATAGTTCTCCCTTGATCGTTCTATCCTCCTAAGTACTATAATCTTCGACTATGCAAACTCGAACGAGAGGATTTGCCAAGCAATATGCACGAGAGCGAAAATAGATGGTGTGCGGCTCTGAAAATATCCGAACCTTCATTGAAATTTGCGTTAAAACAATTTTTTTTAAAGAAAAAAATGTTAGGAATAGTTCTTTTATGACGCGATGCGAACTTTTAAACAATAGAAGAATGTAAGTTCATTGACCATTTCCGGTTGGGAATCGAATTAAAGTTCGATTTTGACCTCTCCCGCGATCTAAGTTGAGATCTCATTATACATAGTAACGAGTGGTCAACCACTTAGAAAGCGAGAACTAGGAAAAACCACTAATCGGAATGGACAATCGAGGGCGGAAATTAATAAAACCCAGGTAATTCAAGAACGCGAGGGCTTCTTTTCCCGAAAGTTCCAAGTGTCGGATCAGTTGTTGCGTTTGTGTCTCATGCCCATCTTCGTCTCGGTCTCCCGACCTCGGATCGACATCTTCCCATCACCGGAAGTCGACCGCATCGTCACGGAGTCGTCGAGACGTCGAGGGAACTGTCAATCGCGAACTAGGTACACCAAGGTACCAGCGACACTCCTTCATTTGGGACTATCTTGGAAAAGAAAGGAAGACTCAGAGGCCGCTGCCGATTTAGAACTTCCAAGATCGCGGAAATCTTGTATGCTCTTTTTTCGTGTAAAATAAACGGTTTCTTGTAACCGTAGAGTCTGTCTCAGTGCCGATCGCCCACATACGAACCCTTTGCGACCCCTCGACCCTCTTGACATATTTTCACCCCTGTTGGCATCCTTACAGTGGCGAGAAGAGGTGATGACGTTTCTCGCTGTCGTTAAGTACAGTACGACTAAACGACGCGAGCGAACGAAAGAAAGTGGTGTAGAGATGATGACGTTACATCTCAGAGAAGGGCGCATTATTGCACTGTAGGGAAGAAAAAATCGAAATGGTTCGACTACAACGCTTACTGCTAGAAAAGAAAAATTTTTGTTATTAGGATTACTTTATAACAAACACAAAAATCCTTAAAGTACAGTGTTCCTTCTGTCTGGAAACAGTGAAAGGATAAACAACCCTATTATAATTTGTTAATAAAATAGAATTTATATGACTTTATATATATCTATAATTTGAAAAACAACAAAAATCGTTTTATATGTACAGTAGATGAAAGATATGAGAAGCCATCTTCTACTCGTGTTAAGGCTCTTGCATAATATTTGGCGAAAAGAGGCGAGACTCGATAAATAACAAACTTTGTCAGATATTATCGAGAGCCAGAAATTCGCTCTCGATAGCGAGATTTGTCGCTTCTCGCTTGTGCATGATTTTCCTTTGCGAGAATTATATCGCTCGCAACCTTTCGCTGCTTTGTCGCACGCTAAATTTCTAACCGCGACATAAATAACGGCGGCAATTTGAATATACTGGAATGCCACGTTAAACTTGTACGGATGACAGATTAGAGCTCAAGTGCCATTGATGAAACTCTGATTTCGATTTGTTACGTGTGAAAGTTTTCGATGTTTATTTCTTTCTATGTTATATTAGATTTAGTTTAGAAAATACTTATTTTTACATAAATTGATGTCATTCTTTACAATTTCATAGCTCATTTAATTCTTTACGCCCTGTGGGCACTAAGAAAGCCTATTTTATTTAGCAAGCCCATTATGGGTTCGACCAGGCTCACAATTTGACAGCCGGGTGGTGAGGGATAGGGGCCGACATGTTCGAACGGACCTCCCTAGAAAAATTCCTGGGGATTTTTTGACCCGTCTGGATTCGATCCCGGGTCATTCAGAGTGATAGGCTCGACCATACCTTGACCGCTCGACCATCCGACCATACAAAATTATAGTAAAACAACATCAAATTAATGTAAAAATATGCACTTTCTCAACCCATCGACTCTACATAGATGTGTAAGAGTCCAGATGGGAGACCTGAGAATAAGTCCTAATTGGTAAAAAAATCCAGAAATCGATCGAAAAGACATTCTTTCTTAGGCCGAGAGAGCTTTCATTTGACTCCTTTCACCTTGTGGGCACCAAGCGAGAGGGCTTTTACTCCATATGTCGAGGATTGACCGTATTCATAATTGACAGGCGGGTGGGGAGGGACGGGTCACGACATGTCCGTTACAAATCATCACAAAAAAATTTCAGGTTTTTCAATTCGTGCGGATTTGATTCAGGGTCCATCAGCGGCAGCTGGTGACCCAGCAAACTCGACATTATGGCAAGCACATCGCACTTTTTTCCAGTACAAGGCCTTGGAAAAGATTTGGACTTGAAAAAGCCTTATTAATTAATTAATTAATGCTCACGGACAAAGTCCAAAAAGTCATATCATCCCAAGTTGTAATCAGTTAGTTTTACGTAATTCAGAAGTATGCATCTGTCTATATTAATTAAGGCGACTTACTGAAAAAAATTATAATATGATTTTTATATTTGAATACAATGATATTACTAATATTTTGTTTATTAATTTACTTTTTTGAGTGTAATATACTGTATATTAAACCGAGGAAAGGTCACGGTGCAAATGTCAATCAGAAAATTCCCGATTTCCCAGAGGTTAAGTCCAGAAATGTGACTACACACAGAAAAATATCCCTAAAGAATATAAAGATATGAGGTCTGTTCAAAAAGTATCGGACTTTTATTTTTTCCGCGTAAACCAATGATGCGCGGGAGGCCTCTTTCGGTGGAGTTGTGGAGGGGACAGTCATGCACAGCCCTGAATTTTTTCCCGCCTGCAGGAAACGTCAGTCGTTGGCAGTCGGCCTATGAGTGAGGACATGTAGCGAGCTGTCGTCGGATTCCACTAAGTTGGAAAATGACTGAACAACATGAGCAGCGATATTACATCAAATTTTGCCAAAAACCTTGGCGATACCCGAGCGTAAATCATTCGCATGATTCAGCAGGCTTTCGGGGACGATCCTCGAGGCCAAAAAAGCGCGGCAGGCCCGCAGCAATATCAAGGTCATGTTGACAGTTTTTCGACTCTCGTGGAGTGGTGTATCGTGAGTACGCACCACGAGGCCAAACCATCGCAAAGGAGTACTACCAGGAGGTCTTTCGTCGTCTTTCCGAAGCTGTGCGACTCAAACGACCGGGTCTGTGGTCGATCAAAACTTGGCAGCTCCATTGTGATAACGCATCCGCCCATTCTGCGCATCTGATTCGGGCTTTCGTCGCCAAACGCAATACTCCTGTGGTTCGTCACGCTCCGTACTCTCCCCACATGGCTCCGTGTGACTTTTTGCTATTTTCCAAGCTGAAAATGCCGCTAAACGGAACCCGATTTTAGTCTAGAGAAGACATCGTGCGGAATGTGACGGACCAGCTGATGGCCATTCCAAAAGATGCGTTCCAGCAGTGTTTCCAGCAATGGCAGGAACGCTGGGAGAAGTGTATACACTACCAATGAGAAGGGGATTAGGGTTTTGAACCTCAAAATCAATAAATGTATTTTTGCCGACCAAAGGTCCGATACTTTTTGAACAGACCTCGTATTTGAAAGTGAAGAAAAATATAAATTAAAAGTGTTGAGTCTAATACACCTTTTAAAGAAGGGATCTAAATAAAGTATTTTTTAATGTCTTAATTAGCATCTTTCATAAACAAAATGGCGTACAAAGAATACTGTTGCATTGTCTACACATTGCTTGTAACATTCTTAGTGAAAGTAAACCACTTCCATTTGAAAATAATTAAAGCATAGAATAAGAAATAATACATATTTCGTTTTCATTCAGTTCCTCAATATTCTACTATAGTGTATTTTCTGTATGCCCATAGATAAAAAATTAATAAACAAATTGTGATTTAACTTTCATCCTTTTAAAAATCATGCGATCCGGTCTTCACATTATAGGGTAACACACTTCACATATACACATGAATAAAAATCGAATAAAAAAAATTCGAATTACATCACGATAATACTGTTATCTTTATTGTTCTATTCAGTACAAGGTTTCAGGTTACTCATCTCTCTTCATAACATCCTTTACGGCATCTTTAACTTGTTGCCATAAGTCCTTCATATCTTCTTTGTATGGACGTAAGAATTCTAGAGCTTCTATGGCAACCTCCTTGGTTACTTCTTTGTGATGTTTGATGAACTAAAAATTAATCATTAATTAATATCTAAATGGCAATTATTGTAATAATGAAAATCATTTATAAAAAACAATCTTTTGATTGTTATATTTATTTACATCTTTTGCAATAATTTTCATTTTTTCCAGTTTGTCCTTTGCTTTTTCCAGAGCTTCATCATGCTTTTCTTTTAACCATTCCATGAAATTCAAATACTTTTCTTTGGCATCTACTCCTATCTTTTTAAAATATTCTTTCACTTTATCCCATAGTTCTTTGAGAGATCGCGTTTCTTTCCTGCCTAATAATTCATCTATAAAGTCCTTCAAGGCTTTCTTTCCGTGTTCTTTCAATTCCTTCAAAAGTTCTTGCAGAGCCTGAAAAACAATTTATTAGTATATTATATTTAACTTCTCATACCAATTTGCCTGGAAATGAAAAGTAAATACCTCTTTATGTTCACCAAATTTTTCTTTCAAAAACTCCTTGATCTTATCTAAGCTGACGTGTTCTTTTAACTATTTACGTATAAGTTAATTAGAAAAATTTAGAAACATACATGAAAAATTTATACTTTAAATTAAGCACAAACCTTTTCACGAAGTCGCCTGAGGATTTCTTTAAGATTAAATTCTTCTGCTAATTCGAATTCTTCGTCAATTGATCTTTTATCTTTACTCAGTTTATCTAGCAATTTTCTCCAATATTCCTTTGCTTTATCTTTTATTTGTTGAATCAACTCCTTGGATTTCTCGTGAATTTCAATTCCCTTCTCCTTTAACTTTTGTTTGAAATCTTTATACTATGTGTTAAAACGCAGAAAATTAATATTTTAAAATGGAAATAATGTAATAATAAAATTTTATTTCTAAATTTACTTTTTCGATTAGATCTTCCGAGATTTGTTTTCCTTTGTCTATAGCATCTTTCATTTTTTCTACAATTTCATCCAGTTTATTTTTCATTTCCTCTTCCGATACAGCTTCGAATCTTTTCTGTATCCTATATACATTTTAAAGTTTTTAGTGTTATAATTTTTATTAAAGGTGCAAATATTTCTGTGTAATAACTCACTCATCAAGTTCTTCGGAATCGGGCAAACCCAATGCCTCACTCAATGATGGAGCAGATTTCAAGCCCTCTCTGTAACTTTCTAGAACTTCATCACGAGCTCTTCTCAAAGCTGTAATTTTAAAGTTTGGTATTATTATTATTATTTTTACTTTAAATCATACATTATAAATTAATGTAATCTATAAGTTTATAGATAATATAACTTTACCATCGTGAAAGTTCGCGGCCGCAAATCCAACGAAGAAAATCAAAAGCAGGAACTTCATGATTTCTGTACGTTAGAAGACAGTATGAATTAAAATCCCGTTGTATTTTTCAGAAAAATATTATTAAAAATTTATTAAATATTGTATACAAGCTTACCTCAGTCACTGTGTCTTAGTTACCCTAAAGAACAGTAAGGTACTGTCAAAGCAGAAGTGCTTTTATACTGTTCAGAAACAGAAGTGAGATAAAACAAAGATAAATAAAAATTGTGTACAAGGTTAGATATATCTATTTTAACCTAATTAAATGCTTTTAATTTTGATATGGATGAATACAGATGTAGATTTTCACACACCGTTCCTCAATTTAAGTTTTTAATTTTAATCTAAAAAAATGATAGCAATTGTTTTTTACATATGCCCTTTCCCAAGGAGTCGTCAAAAATTCTGATTAAAAACTTACATTCATTTTTAAAATCTTTTTAATTATTTATAATATTATTTAAACATTTTCATTACTTTTACAAGCGAAATAATCAGCCAAAGCTATTTCATTTTTTTATTAAATGTCTTTACTTTGCTGTAAATTGGATTAAAATATTAAGTAATAGTTTATTGTCACTTTAAAGATAAAACAATAAAACTATTTATTAATTATTAAACTAAATTCGTTTTCTTTCTATTCGAGAGAGTGACGTAAATTATTTCCAGACTTCACGTCAGTCTTTTAAAATTAATATGTTTAAATGAAATTTTATTTAATAATTGTAAAAAATTTTTCTTTGTTTTTAAGATTCGATGCACAAATAAATTATACGAAAAAATAACTAAAAAAGAGAGAGTGATCTTCACTTGAGATAAAAGCTGTTTAAAACATTATATAAAAATAGAAGTGAAGAGAAAGATAGCGATTTCCTTTCCTTACACAACATTTATTACCGTATAAGAAATTCAAAAAAATTATCCATAATTAGAACTTAGTAGGTATTATCAAGCAAATTAGGTCGCTGGTAGGAAGATCTAAACAGTTATATGAAAAGTATACGTGAGAATTAAAAGGAAACAGACTAAGTAAATTATACATAATGTAGCAAGTCAGTTTCCTGCTCCCTCTTTTCTTCCGTTTTCCCACATTAAGAATATCTGTAATATTCACTTCTCTATAGATGAAATTCTCTTTACTCCTTGTCTTCTTGCGTTGTTAATATAACCTTAAAATATTTTCTTCCTTCTTGTCTGAAGGGTTATATATTTGTATCTGCACGAAAACTGTCATAATTTATTGAAGTAATAATTTCTTTATATTAATTTAATTAATATACATGTGTCAAATAATCTTCTTATACTTCTAAACATCACTTTTCGTAGCTGTTATTATGATCTATGTATGTATATATATAAACTCGTTATACACCGTGGTTTTAGAAGACAGAACCATAGTATTGCACTGAAGAGGGACTTAATATTTATATAAGTCCGTAATGCATATGTGGAAACAATAAAAGAAGTGTCTAAGCTGTAATGACAGTCTGCACAACTTAATTTCGGATTAAAAAAACACACATACATAAATTTTCTTATAATTCATGTAAAGTACTGTCATAACTTTACATTTTTTTCTTGAGTTTGTTAATGAATGATCATTCTCTGTACAATGTAAACAAAACTTCGAATAGTGTCAAGGGTTATAACTGTTCGTATAATCAAACCGATCTCCTGAATTTCATAATAGTAAATAGTAGCTAATCTTTAAACACTACTGAAATGAAATTATCACGCTGAAAATGCTATTTGCATATGGTCTGTGTCTGCAATCACATGACACTGTCTGCATGTGATGTGACAGAAATTGGTCGTCAGATAAACTGTGGGTGAGGTATATGGAGTGCACTAATTAGACCCATGTAGAATGTTCAGGAGTCTGCTCCCGAATATTCTTTATGGGTCTAATCAGTGTACTTCATACATCCATACTTCATACATCCATTCTATGTGGGTCTAATCACAGATCCGAATTTTACAAAAGAACGCATTCATTCCTCAATGCAAAACATGTTTAAATAAATATGAAGAACTTTTTTTAAATAGTCATTTATGACACGGGTTAATAACTTCTAAAATGTTTTCTAAAAAATTTTATAATCGTTTCTAGCAAAAGTTCTTGAACTTGAAAATGTAATCAACGAATGTTTTGGGTTTAAAATATAATTTTAGTTTTAATATTATTAAAGTTATAGTAGTAAAATGAATTAGGAGTTTTACTTTAGTACATTTCCTCTATTACAGTTAATATGCAGTGTTTCATCAATGTTCATTCTTGTCAAAGTTTGAAAGATTTATGGGTTTAAATGAAACATTGTTGGACTAGTAAAATCCCTTTTTTTGACTTGATTTCTTCTCGAAGTCTTTAGCACGTCATGTATCCAAACAAATTCCAACTCACGAAAAATTGGCATGGTGGATTATTATCAGGCAATTCTAGAATATCGATTTAGGATCGCCAGAACGTCAGATCAGTGACGTCTTTTGTTCCTCTGGACCACTGGACATCCTATGGAAAAAGATGCAAATCTTATGTTCAAGTTATTCTGTTTTCTAGGCAATTGCCTAATGTGTTTAAAACTAAATCCGATCCTCATCCGAACTCATACTTACGCAAATTTTTTCATTGATTGATATTACAATAAAAGTAAAAAGTCAGCACAAAATATCGCTGTAAATATATATAAAGGTTAAGTGAATGATAATAAATCTTAATGTCAAGATGTTCATTGCATCATTAATTTTTTTATTTAATTAAATTAAATTTTTTATTTAGTTAAAAGTTTGATAAATTGCTCTGTCTGTTGTCAGATTTAGAAAGATATTTGATAAAGTTTTGCTACGCTTTTAAAAATAGCACATTTTTTTTTCTTGTTCTCCAAAATAATTCACTAAAATTTCGTTACAACTCTGTTGTTAAAATTTATTGTTTTGGTGTAGAAATGGTGTTATCAATTTTGATTTACTTGATAAAAATTTTGAAAGCAAAAGACGAAACAGTACTTTTTACTACTTAACATACCGGGTATATAGACTGTTGAGAAATAAAATTTATTTATTGTGATTTTAAATTTCCCTCTACCTTGATTAAATTTTATCTTCATAAATATAATACGGATGTAGTGGCGCGGTATAGCTTTATATAGAGTCCAGGCAAATTTGAATTAGAGGACCCCATTTACAGTTTTTACTTCAAACATTTTTCATGGACGGAATTTTTGGGGAATTCCCTGGTATCTTCTTTCGGATTTTAGCGTAACCTCTAGAGTTTAAACTTCGGCGCTGTGCCAGTGTGCCTTGCGCCAGCGCCACACCGGCAATCTAGTGTTGGTTTGAAACTCCCTGTTGGTGGAGATCTCAGATAATTGCCATTTTGTCCGTAGGATAATACTCCACTGTACCGATGCAAATCAAAATAAATTATTATTACGATTATACCGTTTCTTCTAAATGAATTTGTAATTTATATACACAAATGAGGGTATGTGAAGCTATACAGATATGCTAAACATATGAAAAGTTACGAATAAAGAAGAAAGAGAAGAAAGTGTTCAGAAAATAAGGTAATTAAGAATGCATTTAAATAGAGGGGATTAAATATGGAAATGCAAGATACGGAAGATAAGTCCTTCGTGTGGTATCTAAAAGGGCCTACCAGTGTCCGAGTAGATGACATACTAGAAACTGATAGTTGGATGCGTGTTCGCATCTCTTCGACGGGCTGGACACGTGCAGTTTTACAGATTTTTTCGTATGTATAATACCTAAATATGAACCAATTTCCCTTAGAAAAGAGGTTATATTCTCATATTATATATTTAAACACATAGTTTCTTATTTAATTAATGTAGAGATGAGCAATACGTTATCGAATTATACAACTTTTTAATTTTAAAATAATTTTTCAGATATTTTTTAGATATCTAAAATATAAAACAAAAATTAAACAGTTGATTAGTCTATTCATTTACAAAAAAACATTATTAAGGAATTTATTATGTTTAAAAATTTTTTCAAAATGTACTATTCAGTAATAAGTATGAAGTTCATTTATACGGTCTTCTCATCACTCAGAATATAACTAACCATTAATAAAGGCCTAAAGAACGTCACTAACCACTATGCGCTTCTCCAAAGTCATAATATTATATGGAATTCATTCATCTAAAGATTTTTGAGCCATAATTGACAAAAGAATATGAATTAATGTAGCAAGATTCCAGCTGAGATTAAAATTTTGTTTTCTATAATAAATTTTAAAATATTTAAATCAATTTAAACCCTTTATTATAATTGTTTTTAATTAAGTATCGGGTATCAGAGAAGTATCAGGTCAATTCCTTCATGAGAATTTCTGTCAAACCGAGCGACAAGCTCCGGAAGAATGATTATATATAATAATTTCATATGTTTTATTCGTATTATAATTGTTTTTAATTAAGTATCGGGTATCAGAGAAGTATCAGGTCAATTCCTTCATGAGAATTTCTGTCAAACCGAGCGACAAGCTCCGGAAGAATGATTATATATAATAATTTCATATGTTTTATTCGTGTTTTCATCATATTTATTTAACAGAATTAACAGAAAGAGAAAAATCTTATCAAACGCATGTTTCAAAGTACGAATTAATTATCTTCAAACTTTTCTCTCATTATCGATATTATCATTTTTTTTTTTAAATTAACATCAATGACAACAGTAGAAACAGGTGACATTTCCCATTTATCTAGCATAATTTTATTACAACAGAAGTTTTACTTAAGTCATATATTAATAAATGCTTTCGAAATATATACGGAAACCAATTAAAATTTTTACAAGTAGAAATTAAATGATTCTAATTCAAGCGGAAATGAAGTTAAATTGGGGCCTATTGTTAATGTTTTATTGTTTATTTTTTAGTATTTTTAAAAATTATCTTGACCTTAAATCTTTATGCACTTGGCACTTGGCACTTTCCAAGTGGCCAGCACGTTTGTGAGACACGAATCAGTCATCAACTGCGGTGGTGTCTCTCGAAGTTAATTAGCCTTTAATTCCTTTTTTATACTTAATATATTATACTTTCTACAAGTTCATAGTAAATAATTCTCTTGAAAGGTTATCACACAATGGAAACCATTTAATACCAAGAACCAAAATGCATCTTAGGTTGTAGATAAGGCAACAGTAATTTCAATTGTGTGATAACCTTTGAAAA